ATTGGCTATGCAAGCTGTGGATGATGGAAGTTACAGTGTGACAACATCTGGAGGGTTGCACTTTGCCCAACTGTGCTTGAAAAGTAAGAGTGAAACAAGTCAGGCATGGAGTATAGGCATCTATCTATCCATAAATAGGAAGTGGGTTAAGGAAATCTGTTTTCTCTTTCTCAAGCACTTCTAAACCCTCCTCTGCTGTATTATTCCAGGAGACAGCTACATCCAAACCTGAGAATTTTATAGATATACAATGTGATGGAGGAGGGATGCAGGTCTGCAGACAGGCAAGGGACCCTACCAAGATACATGGAATAAGATGATGGAGTTTGAGCATTCCCTTGCTTCTCGTGTTCATTATTTACCTGTGTTTGTGAGTGGGTGTGAATGACACGTATACAGTATATTGTAAATCTGTTGTAAATTCCCATATGATTGGTACACTCATACATCCTGCCTGCCTGGTTTTGCTTTTGTTTTTAAAAGAATTCTCCTTCTGCTCCCCTCCCAACTTTTGATCAATGTCATATTCTTTTAATCCACGAAAGGTAAAGGTTCCCCTTGACAATTTCCTTCTGCTCCCCTCCCAACTTTTGATCAATGTCGTATTCTTTTAATCCACGAGCCTGTGTATAATTAACATACCTTTTTGCATACCAGTTCACTTGGATATTAACTCACATATCAGCCTAAAAAATGTTAGTTAGGCATCCGTCAGTCTCGAAAGACTATGGTAACGTGCTCTGTATGGAGGATTTGGAACAGCGTCTAGTGTGGCTGAGGAGGCCGATTCGGAGTGACAATCCATTCCACACTGAAGACAAATCCAATCTGTCCCCTGTCCAGCTCCCTGGTTTTGCTGCTTTTGTGACTTCCTCTTTGCCTCGGCCTGCTGGACAAGGGTCTCTTCAAATTGGGAGAGGCCGTGATGCAACGCCTGCCTCCAGGCTGAACGCTCAGATGTCAGGGTTTCCCATCTGTTGAGGTCCATTCCTAAGGCCTTCAGATCCCGCTTGCAGATATCCTTGTATCACAGCTGTGGTCTCCCTCTGGGGCGATTTCCCTACACTAATTCTCCATACAGGAGATCCTTTGGAATCCGACCATCAGCCATTCTCATGACGTGCCCAAACCAACGTAGACGTTGCTGTTTCAGTAATGTATACATGCTAAAAATTCCAGCTCATTCTAGAACTACTCTATTTGGAACTTTGTCCTGCCAGGTGATACCAAAAATCTGCCTAAAAGATATGTCACCAAAAAAGGACAAAAAAGTTACTGATTTGCATAAAAGTACATATGCTAATTTATATGTACAGATGCACAATTAGAAATGGGGTTTATAATATAAGCAGAATTACGGTGCATCTCATATGTGCCGAGTCTGCTGACTAAATGTCAACAAGCAAGGTTCAGATTGCTGATCTTTCTCCTAATGTTTCTTTACCAAGTCTCAGTAGCTGGGCCCTAATCAAGAAAGAGAGAAGACTGGAATTCTCAGTGAGTTCATGAGATGCAAGAAATGTACATAGGAATCCACCCTCTAATCCTAACTCTAACCACAATGTTTATCCTCAGTATTTTGGGATCTTATGGGATCAGATAATACTTCACAACTCAATCAAGTCAAGGACCTGGATTAGAATTATATTCTTAATCCTACTACATAAGGGTTAAACACCCAGTTCTGTGGTACTAGGCTGGCTCAAAAGGTGCCCATCCATGTCTTGTATAGAATTAAACTGTCCCTAAATGTTTCCCAATAAATATAGAGCTGTCTCTTCTGTATCACCCTCTTGCAGATTGATTAAGACTTCTCAGCTTTATCCGGTTAGCTTTATATGGAACAGGTGCCATTTCAGAGAAAGTTATTTGAAGGTCCTGTTTTGCTTTCAAACTGATAAGTATTAATTGGTGGTAATTAGCTTGCAGGGGGTGGGGGGAGAGAGAGGAATGAAAGAGAGCCTAAACCTGCAGTGCTGCACAACTTAACTTGATAGAAAACCCCATGATTACTTTGGTAAGTACCTATGCATAGAATGGTGTTGTGTGTCTTATACCGATTCTGCATCTGTCCCCCAAAGTGAGACTAGGGTAGTATAATGAGGAACCTCTGATCCAGGGCAGAATCTGACCTTAATCTGATCTTCTGGGATTCCTCAGATGGGCATGTCCCCTTCTCCTTGACATCATTGTTTGGTGATTTTGCAACTTTTGTGCAGGTTTCTTATTTCCCATTCTCAAAATCTGAAATGCCTCTTTTAAGGCTTAGTTCCTGGGAGGGGTAGATTTGATTTAAATCAAATAGACTTTTCACCATTTAAATCAAAAGAAACAGGGCTTTTTGACAATTTAAATAAGCACAACAATTTTTGTGGGTTTTTTTTGTTTTTTTTAAAAAGCAATCTGATTTTTTAAAAATCATTTTTTAAAATCATTCTGGTACCTGGTATAAGGAGCTTTGTGCTTAAATGTGCAGTATTTTCCAACCCACTTGAATTTTTTTCTGCTTCTTTCAGTATTAGAATTCCACACACACACTCCAAAAACATCTGTAAAATTGATTTTGGCTTTTCGTCTGAAAGAGATCCCCCACTCTTGCTGTAGGATCATGAAGACTATGCTTTTAATGCTTCAATTGGCCAAATTTGTCTATTGAATTACACCAGTGTTCTATGGAATAGTCTTGTCATAAGGATTCTTCAAAAGTTAAATATATTTATAATACTTTCAGTCTGATAGCACTTAAAACAATAGTCGTCCTTGTGTGTGGTCTCTAAGGATAAAGTGTGAAATAAAAATAGGTCTTCTTGCAACAAACAGTGTTGCTAATCTGCTATTACCGGGCCTACAATAGGCCTTTTACTTCTTCATCATTTGCTTTCTGGTAGAATTAAGTTTACTGAGAGCAATAGCATTTGAACAGAAAAGATTGGCATTATTCTTGAAAGGATCTTTATTGCGTAGTTTTGGGTTGATATGTGGCTCTTGATTATTCTGTAAAGGAACAGTAGACAAGATGGAATACCAAAAGCCTTCTTACCAATTATTCCATGAAATGGCTTTTGCTGAATCCCCTCCTGCCCCACCCTGCCCTAATCTTGAGAATATTATAGACATTCAAAAATACTTTGTATGCATCATGCTGGACCACAGTAAGACAGTTCACAAGTTTTTACTGTCAAAAATAATAGAATTGCATTGTTTAAGACTATTATTTGATTGCTGGTACACAATAGCAATTTCAATGACTCATCTAGGATGAACAGAGTGAAACTTAGTAGTGGTAGAGATTGTGAGAGACATGGAAATAAAGGTGGTGGAGAAGAAAGATGATATAAGGTGCTGTACAACAATGTATATGTCACCCTAGTTGTACTCTCAGTCTCTCTGTTGTACTCTCTGACATGCCTCCAGAACAGAGAGGGCAATATATTTTGAGGAGAAATGCTGCTTCCTCCTCTCAGCAAGATGTGTTCCAAATGGTTTCCTCACAAGAAATCTACTCTGATTCCCAGTTGGTGATGCCCAGAGTAGGAAACCGTTTCTTACTCTGTCTTTGTTAGACATTTCTTTTAAAAATGATATCCTCTGTTCCACTGTGGAGAATGAGCAATCCAGCAAGAACAGATATCAAGCTGGTTTCTGTGCCGCAAACTCTTTTCAGCCCCTGGCCTCTCCCACGAAGGGGAATAGCCCTGGCCATGGGGAGGGGGTACACCTGAGAAATCAACCATCTACAAACATTTTAGAATACTTAAGGAGCAGGGGGTCCAAGTGGGATGACTTCTGGAACATCGTCCACCAGAGAAGAGCAGGATAAAGAGAGGCATGTGACTTGGGAGAGGGAAGAGGCTCAAGAAGATATTAAAAAGAGAGACGTTTGGAGAGAGAGGAGGATTCATCAAGAGGAAAAAATAATCTTGGGAGCATGCAACAGGTCAAGTGGAGGAAGACAAAAGGGATGGGGATCAGATAGAAATACCCAAAGAAGCCCCGCAAGTCACAGCTGTCCTTTGCCCACAAGATGTTCTGATTCAGCATAAGCGCGATAATCCTCCACTGACCACCCTTTCAGAACCTCTGACTCCTAGGCAGCTGAGGAGGTGGAGGCACCAACACAACTTTTAGCATCTGCACCAACTGGAGACTGAACTTCAAGGTGCTCAAAGGCAGAATCCTGGGTAGCACATTTGGGGCACCAGCTTGCAAGAACCTAGGGAGGGTGCAGTGCTCAGAACAAAGATCAAGGAAGGTAGACTGTGAGGTGTTGGATATCAGAGAAGCTATCTGGCCTCATTAATGCCACATTTCAGTTCCTAACTTACCATTCTTCATCTTTTGTTGTTATGCTCTGATCTATTGCACTGCTTGAAGACTTGGGGGACCATACAAGAATTTGTGTTTGGGCAGCTCTGAGGGTTAGACGGTACATATTTGGGCAATATCCTACAGTTGTTTTCCACTAATAGAATGATGGGATCTAGGAAAAGCAGTTGGGGATGAGGCAATCAGCAGTGCTCAGAAACATGCAAAGCTGAAGACACTCTACATGATTTTCCACCATCCTCAATTTATCATAACAGCAAACCTGTGGGTTAGATTAAGCTGAGAGGGGATGAAGACTCCAAGCCCACCCAGTGACCATTGTGAATATATAGTGATATATATTATATAGTGATACACATTATATAGTGTTATATACTATATGTAGTAATTTGCATCTGGGTCTCCTAAGAGCCCTAGATTGTTGAACTACATTGGTGGTCTCCTGGGTCACAAACAGAGTGGGCCTATTAAATAGATATAAACTTGCAAAGTCAGAACTTGCATACATTCCATTGCTTCCTTGGATCTGCTCTATTTGGGACCTAGTCTATAAAGCCAAATGTCATAACAAGTGAAGGTGTATATCTTAAAGCTTGCTATATGTTTGCCTTAATGTTTACTATAAGCCAGCTGGCTCTAATTTTTATTGTTCTCTCATGTTTTCTCTTTCTTAGATGTACATCCAGACAACAACACTTACGGTGTCCATGAGTTTAAGTGCTTCTGTGTCTCTGGGCATGCTCTACATGCCCAAGGTTTATATTATAATTTTCCATCCAGAGCAAAATGTTCAAAAAAGGAAGAGGAGTTTCAAGGCAGTTGTGACAGCAGCCACCATGCAAAGCAAGCTGATCCAGAAAGGAAATGACAGACCAAATGGCGAGGTCAAAACCGAAATTTGTGAAAGCCTTGAAACCAACAGTAAGTCATCTGTAGACTTAACCATGGTCAAGAGTGGCAGCACTTCTTAATAGATGTACGTCCACAGGAATGTTTAATAAGTAATTTTTTCCCCCTTGGCCTGCCCTGCATGAACCCAGAGATGTGTCAAAATTCATGTGCCCATTTCTTCTAGCATTTTAAAAATCATCCTACTATTGTCTTGCTATTGGTTTTATGTATAAAGTGTATCATGTTTTTAAAGGCTTATACTGAACTGCAGTATAGCTCAGTAGTTTAGGTATGGTTGGGAGTTCAATACCCCATGATGCCTCCTTGGCAGGTCCTGGATTCGATGTTCCATAGGGTCTCTTCCAGCTTTGCAGTGCTAAGATTCTAAGCTTATGGCAAAACTGCAGTGTAAAGAGTTTTCGAGTAATCTGATCATTATGCCCCATCTATCATTTTCCTCCCCAATGTTTTTGAGGAGAACTCCAAGTACATGTGAAATTATTTCACAGTACAACCTTTGTTTTGCCTTGTTGCAAAGAGTAGCTGACCCATTTCGTAGGAGAAAATGCTCGCTGTCACAGCAATCTTATATACATCTCATCAGAAGTAAGCCTCACTGTTTTCAGTAGAGCTTTCTCCCAGGCAGAGATGTGAACATTTCAGTCTCAATTTTGCATTTTTTTTTCCAAATTTCATTTGTATTTTTCTCACGCCCTACTCCTATCTTTGCTTCATGTTGGACTGTGAGGCCCTCTTTTTTCTTGTCATTGGATAATTCATGAATACCGTTCTCATTTTTTAAAAAAGAAAAATTGGACATGTTTTTGCATGCACATGTTAATGTCTTTCCCCTTTTGGCTTAGTAGTTACATTTTAAAAAATGCTTTATGCTTCCACTTTTTATCAGAACTCTTGAGAAGGAGAGGTGCATCTTGTGGACTGGCAAGATGATACAAATGACAAACAACTTGCTAGGTGGTTACATCCACAAATAATAAGTTATTGAAGAAATTGGTCCTTGAATCCTGACACATCTCTAAACAAATCTTTCAAGCAATCTGATAATTGCACTTAATGACAGCATGTTGTCTTGGCATGTTATATGAAATGCATACACTTTTAAAGGGGGGGGGAATGGATGTGAGTACACCAAACAGAAGTCTACATTTACAAAAGCAACAACAATAACAATTGTTTATCTGGTAACGTGATTGTTAGTTTATTTCCAATCACATGCTTACAGATGTCAACCAAAACACAGTGGGCAGTAATTTGCCTGTTTAGATGAAGCTGCTCTATCCCTGTAGAAATAGATGACAACCAAATAAATTTAAAAATCCAGAAAGTTGTAGAAAACACCTGAATCCTCCTCTCTGGATTTTCTTAGCTTTATGATACCATAACTTGAAATGAGAAAGATAGACATAATCCTTATCCTTAGTCCATGACAGAGATGAGAAATGTTATTTTTTGGACATTTCCCAGCCATCTTGGGTTCTGGGGACAAGATTCTCAAATGGTGATGTTTTCCATCTCTGATCCTCAATACTGCAGATATTGATGCATGAAGCATGTATTATAAGCATGGAGGCACAAATCTATCTGCAAAATAAAAAAAGACAAAACAGAACTGGTGACTTTAGGATCTGAAGACTGTTTCTCTGACTCTACTGGCTGCATGATAGGCATGATTTAAAACAAAAACACCGTGGTGAGAGAAGCTATATCTTCCAGATATTTGCATGCCATGGAAAGGTTACAGGTACAGGCACTGTCCTTGGTAAAGGCATTTGGCAATACGTAGCAGAAGAGTGTACAAATAAATACACAAACACATTTATTAGTGCCACTTTTTCAACACACATGCCCCGCACCCCAAAACATCTCAAAGATCAGCTTTTATCAAATAAATAAAGCAATATAGTTTTCCTCAGTGTCAGATTCCAACATGGAAAAAATATGGGAGCTTGCAGAAAATGTGTTAAAAGTCAAGCAAAGGAAGAGTGGAAAAATAAAAGAGACATCTTTGTTGCACTTACTGCTGTTTGGCAAAATGACCAACTTTGTTACAGGTGATCAAATATAGCTCTGCAGTTAGATGATAAAATGTCAAGGGAGTCAATGTTCCTACAGATTTTAGAGCTGCATGAAAGAGGACATTTCAAGCGTCCATAACTTTTTTCACTTTCATAGGACATGCTGATCCTGAAGTATTACTGCTGTGTTCAGAATTGTGTAGGGCACAGTAGATGGCCCCTTTTTTCACATCTGTTCATTTACATGTGGGTTAGGTGACCCAAGTAGCTTGACTTCTCTGCATGATAAAAATTTATGTGAGGTTTTTAACAAAGAAAGGCTTCCCGCCAGCCAGCCATGCCCTGTTCCTCAATATTATATGTTTACCCTTATCCGATGCCACTCTTCTGTCCTTTACCCCAAAAGGTAAGCATTCTGTGGCCACTGAACATACTCCCCCTCCCAACTTTCCCTTTAGCAGATCTTTTTCATAAAGAGTATTTTGTGCTTTTGAGAACTCTGCCCTGCTGATACCTTCTTTTCATGTGTGGTTGGTGCCATTTCGTACACATCTGGATCCCACCTCTGAGAGGGAGAATTCACGATTACTATATAGAATTTCACATTTTGAATTCAACAAGTCTGATTTTCAGCTCTCCATTTAATAATGTGAATAGAATTCCTGAACACAACTGTGACTGGACGCATACCAGCTTCTCTAGCCTCACAATATGCAGGAAAACATGTCTTGATCATATTCCTGATAGTCCTCTGTCCCAAAACTTTGATGTGATTTTAAAGCTTATCTTCAATGCTTGCCGTGGAGATCTTGATTCGCACATTTTCCTGCTCAACAGGCAGGAAGACTCAAAAAGCCAATATCTTCCCTCCCCGAGAGCCTCCCCCCCGCTCACGTAATTGAGCTGTCTTGGCTGAATGACAAGAGCTCCCAGCTCTCTGCTTTCCCCCCTCATCATCATACAGCTATTAGACAGCCTTAACTTTCCTCCCTTCTTCTGCCAAAATAATTTGTGGAAACTTTTAGAGGCCCTAGTATACTTATCATCCAGTTTTCTTTAAAGCTGCTCTTTTAAACGAGCTATAATAGTAGCCAGAATGCCGTACAGAAGATATTCCTTCTTGCTAGCAGTTTTGTGACCTGCAGGTCTCAAATTACTTTTCCAGTGACAGTCATGCTACACTGGGCTTTCTGCGACAAGGACATCATTCCAGAAAATGTGGGAGGAAGCAAGTCGAAGAGCTTGCTCCCAGACACATGCTTTCAAGCAAACACTTGCTTATTTTTATTTGTGCATAAAAAGCACATGAATACCACCAAGAGCATCAAACAAAATGCCTATTTGAAAAGGGAATCAGCATAATTAAACCTTTTTTAAAAAAACACAGTACATAACATTTGCAAAGCAGATGAGGAATCTCAGACCCACAGTGGTTCTTGCCCGCAGGATACACCCCCTACACAGATCCTGCCCCCTTCCCACTGCAGCAGGTTTAGAAATCCCCAGTGTTATCCGTGATAAGTCAGGGGAGGATTTCTATGACATTTCACATTTTTCTCTGCAACCTACATTTGAATCCATAAACAAGCTCAATGATGTTTAAGAGTAATCTGGCCTTTCTCACCAGATTACTCATAAACATGTTCAAACCTACCTATAAGCCCATAAGGGACATTGTGGCATTGTGCTGCAAGGTCAGAAAACCAGCAGTCGTAAGATCAAATCCATGCAATGGAGTGAGCTCCCGTCGCTTGTCCCAGCTCCTACCAACCTAGCAGTTCAAAAGCATGCAAATGCAAGTAGATAAATAGGTACCACCATGGTGGGAAGGTAACAGCATCTCGTGCTAGTCATACAGGCCACGTGACCACGGAAACTATCTACGGAAAAAATGCTGGCTCTACGGCTTGGAAATGGGGATGAGCACTGTGCCCTAGAGTCGGACACGACTAGACTAAATGCCAAGGGGAACCTTTACCTTTACTATAAGCTCAAACATAGGTTGCAGAAGAAATATGACATGTCATTGAAATCCTTCCCCTAGTGATCAGGCACAAAAACTTTCTTCACACATGCTATGTCTTCTCCCCAAATACCGAAAATATGTGAGTAGCAAAGCGCAGGCCGATCCATGTACCCTGGAGGAGTTGCTCTTTTGGGCTATAGAGTTTCCTTGATGTTTCTCTCTCTCTC